AGTTTTGAAAACCAACTTTTCCCCTTCAGGATAAGAACTTCCAGGTTACCTAAAAATGCAATAAAAATCTTTATAGTCTAAGCTTCTTGGCACATAATTTTTCATCAGGGGTTTTCTTTTATTAAATGAGCACAATAATGTTTTGATTTTTTTTTACCCCCCGCAACCACCTAGCTCCTTGTTTAGGTTTTAATTGTATAGCTATATGAAAGATGTGGCTAAGACACTTGCTGCACACACTTGAACTGTTGGGTCAGTAGCTTTGTGTTACTGCCCTGACCCCAGTGTAATTCAGGGGGAAAGGTATTTTTATCTTACAGGGATATGTAGCTATGTATTTTACTAATTGTGAAACACTGGAAATTAATGATGCAGACAATTTGGTGTGGTCTTTGAACAGCTCTCTGCAGTATTTTTTTCTGTTACCATAAATTGTATTTAAGTGCTTGCTCCTCTGCTTTTAAGTTGTACCAATAAAATCGGTAACCTCAGCCCTCCCTTCTTCCCATTTGACACTCCCTAGCTCAGATTGATGTAGTTGTTTTAGTTATCCCTGTAATGTGACCTTTATTTTTAAGTCATGGTGTACTGCATTTGTTTGTCACTAGCTGGGCATGTGCCAATAATATTCTGTCCATTCCTTAATTGCCATCTCTATTCTGTCTGATTTTTTTCTCTTCAGCTGAATAACGGCTTTTTTGCATGAAAAAAAATAGTTTTTACTATTAGACATGTAAAGGGAAGAGAGAGTGAATGTATTGGACTTTGTAAGCCTAAAAGGAATATTTGGATCCCTCTACTAAATAAGGGCTATGTACGATATAGAGTAATCATGTAGTGGAAGACACTTGCAAGTCATAGATTTGTAGGCAGGAGAATCTGTTACTCCCTGTATCTAGGCTGAATGTAAAATCCTTTATGTTGTATTAATGGGGGTAATAACTATTTTTATTTGCTGATGATATACTTGGTTTCTAATAAAGTGTCCTAGGCTCTAGTGAGAACTGTCTACTTTTAATTGCCAATTACTCCCTTTTCCCTTTTCCTGATATGCTCTTGGCTAGCTTTTTATGGTTAATGCTTTTTTCTGAAACACCTCACCACTTGAAATGTGTTCTTTTGGATGTGACCCTAAAAAGCCTGGATCAAGAGCACATCTAATATGCAACCTGCATCAGCTCCTACTCCATCTGGATGACTAGAACTGTTGGAAGATTGTGACATCTTAAACCCGGGGTTTTGCTTTTCAAATAAGGTTTGAAATATTGTTCATTGCATTAAGATTTATGTGTTTTTGCTTTGTGAGACCAGCACCAGGTTTTGAAAATGCCTGTATTGTGAAAGCAAATCTGAACTCTTTCTGAGCCTCTTTCGTTGTCAGAAATAGAATTGCTTTCCAGCAGCCTCCAGAAAATTGTGTATCTGGAGTCGAAGAGATTTAACAGCACGAATCCAGATTTTTAAATGTAATTGTTTTTTTTTAAATGCTAATGTTTGTAAAGCACCTTCAGTTCCTTGGATGAAAGGTGCTATATTCTCTCAGTGTAAATTAATAAAAAGATTATAGGAAGTTTGTCAGAAAATTTTATCTAATGCATAGTCTGTAGCATGTCCCAGCAAGAAGTTAGCATTATATATATATATATATATATATATATATATATAAAACACAATTAAAAATGCTTATTCCTTCACTTGGTTGCTTGACTAGTAAACAGAAGTGAAATTTTTTCTTGTTCTGCATTTGACTTTGAGCTAAGTGTTCCTTTTCTTTAAAGGCAGTAGTCATTGTTACGTCCTGGAACCATGAACCATGCATCACAAGATCATCACAACTCTTTGAATTGTCTGTTTTCAGTGTGCATTCATGCTGATGAAGTATATAGTAGTAAAACACCGAGAAACATTTGCAAAGTCCCCTACTTTGGTGCCCGACACAGTAGATGGCTTGGGGGAATGTTTGTTCCTTATTCCCCCCTTAATTTTATATTTCCTTACCAATCAGTTGGTGATTGCCTTTCTTACCCTTGTGAGAATAAGACTATTCTGGCTTGGATTACTCAAATATTTCCTTTATTCAAAACTGCATGAAATTTGTGAAGATTTTTTTGTATGTATCAACAAAAATACTTATTACATAGGTATGTTCCACTCGACCCCTGGACATCCACTATTCTCAGCACTTTGCTTTTGGGTATAAATGGAAATGAGATACAAAAGACTGCATGGAGGCGTTATGGAATAGTGTAAAGGATATAGGCTTTGGGATCATATCTGTGTAAAAAACTCAGCTCTGCCAGGCGCTAATAGCTAACATAGCTAAATGATGTCATGCCCTATTTTGTGTTTACCTTTACTATGGTTCATGACTATATTACATCTTTCCATCCCCCCCCCCCCCACACACTTCAGATGAGGAAACAGATTTAGGATAAGTAATTTGTCCATGGTAGCATAGGAGAGCTGGAACTTGAACCCCTTTAGGATATACAAGTACATCTNCACCCACTCCCCCCCCCCACACACACACACTTCAGATGAGGAAACAGATTTAGGATAAGTAATTTATCCATGGTAGCATAGGAGAGCTGGAACTTGAACCCCTTTAGGATATACAAGTACATCTTAAACCCTCTTAAGCCATTGTAAGCAGTTTTAGTTTTTGTAGCTGTATGACCCTGAGTGAGTTGGGTTCTCTGGATCCAAATATTCTGTGTCTGAAATAAGAGAATGCCTTACAGGGTTGGCCTCCAGATAAAAAACAACACACATATAGCACCTGGTCCCTGGCCCAAAGATGCCATTTATTGAGGGCTCACTCTAATATATCATTTGCCCAAATTAAATGTAGCTGGGAAGTAATAATTTAAGGCAATATATAATTGGTAATACAGTGAGGCTTATGAAAGTAAAAAAGATTTGGAGAAAGAAGTGTTTGACATAGGACGAGTAATTGGGTAAGGTTTAAAAGAGTAAGTGAGAATTAAATGCGAACTGGAATGATGGGATGTACATTTCTGTGTTTTACATAGTAAAATCACAGAAGCAGAGATTACTAGAACTTACATGTGACTTGAAGATAGGACTTGAGGGTGCCTCTTGAGAAGGCATAAGAAATGAAAGCTGCAGCTCTACTGGCAGAACTATGTATCAGAGAGGAGTTGGCCATAAGAGATCTTGAAAACCACGCAGGATTTTAATACATTTTAAGAAATGTAATGAGTGATAATTCAAGATCAGTCTTCTAGTGGGTTGATGACCCTCCCCACCAGGAAATCAGACCCCACCTGCCACAGTCTTGTCTGAAAAATGTTTCTGGTTTGATTGAGATTGAGGCTATCCATAGTTTATTGATTTGGGGATTATATAAAATATCAATTTGGGGAACCAACAGATGTGCATTTTTTTCTTTCTTTTTTTTTTTTAATTTCTGAGAGAGAGTGTGAGCAGGGGAGGGTCAGAGAGACAGGGAGACACACAATCTGAAGCAGGCTCCAGCCTCTGAGCTAGCTGTCAGCACAGAGCCTGACACTGGGCTCGAACCCACGGTCTCTGAGATCATGACCTGAGCCGAAGTTGGATGCTTAACCCACTGAACCACCTAGTGCCCCTTTATTTTTTTCTTATCAAAGCCATTTTAAAAACCCCACTATGATGTACCATCATTATTTTGGAGAAGAAATATTTTTAACGTGAAAGATAAGCTGTCTCAGAATAAAGGACAGCCCTTTATGCCAAATAAATTTGGTTTTGGGAAAAACCAGTATCCTAATTTTTGCCGTTTGTGAGGGTCTGTGATACATTTGTCCCCAAACTGGTGGTGTGATCTACTCTAGGCTGTCACATTATTGATGCATAAAAACATGTTCTAATAGGAAATAGCAAAAGAGAAAGTTTTATGCCTCCTCCCAGCCCCAAATAGATGCCAGGGATCTATCAACAGAAACAACAAAAACCTGTTCACATGGAATGTAGAGAGGCTGTAGAATCCGTTTAATTAAAGGAAGAATTTTATAAAATGTTAACGAGTTATGTCTTATTTTCAAGGGGCCTTTTTAAAGTAGAAGATGAACGGTAACATACTGTGCTTAAGTGCTGGTAGTCTTGCATGCTTAGGTCTGTCAACATAAATGCAGTGAAATTTATTTTTAAATTGATTAGCTTGCATTGAATTTACAATCATCTGCAGTATCACACGATGGTTAGCACACACTCAAGGATCAATTTTATTTAGCCCTTCCCAAATGGAACATACTGCTTTTAGTTATGGCATCAATTCTGTTTGCAGTGATGATTTTTCTTTCATGGTAATTTTTTTTAAATCTCTTGCTTTCTTGGAAGCCAGCACCCAAGCTTGTGATCTGTTCTGCAGAGGACTGAGCATCTGAAACATACTTTATTTTGGTAGATTCTTACAGCTTTCTTGCTGGATCCTCAATGAAGGGTATCTGTGAGCTGTGAGACCATTTCAGCATGATGTAGTCAGGGACCGCATTGAGGTGGTTCAAAATGAAGCTTCGTTTTGGAGAGTTACCTCACTGTCGCACCTGCCAGAGGAGTTTGGGAAATTGCAGTGCTTGGCTGTTGGTCCTGGCGTGGTGCAGCGTTGGGGGGCGCCAGCAGGTGTGTGGAATGCAGGACGCAGAGCCTGGAGAACCTGCCGGCAGGTGTCTGGCGCCGGAGATGCAGTTTCGGCTTTCCAGCGCACGGTGGCGCCTTGGTCTCCCCGGCGCAGCTAGCAATCTCTAAGGCACCTCCGCCGCCACCTGCAGTCTCAACCAAACTCTAGGTGGCGGGATGTGACGGCCCGAGCGTCCAATCGACCGCCAGGCTTTCGGCTACACTACAACTCTAGCCAATGGGAGCCGAGGAGAGGCGCGGAGGAGGCGGGCCCCGCGGCATGCCAGGCAGAGGCGCGAGGCCCTCCTCCCGCCTCTCCGCCTACTCCAGCCTCCGCCGCCTCAGCTTCCCGAGCGAGCCCTGCGGCCGCCGGAGCAGCTCCCGCGGCGGAGCAGGAGCCGGATGGTCAGAGGAGCCCGGCAGCCCCAGCAGCCGAGGAGTCGCCTGGCCCCCAGGTGGGGCGGGGGCTGGGTCGGGGTCGGGGTCGGGGTTGCGGATGGGGTGGGGGCGCGGGAACGGGCCCACGGGCAGCGGCTCGGGGCCGGGAAGCATTCGGGGCTCCGAGACGGGAGGGGAGGGGGATGCAGACTGAAGGGGCTTTCGGGGGGCGTCCCGGGGCGGGGGAGCGGGCTGGGCGGCGATCGCATCCTCGAGGCCGGATGAGAGGGGCGTGTGAGGGAAGGGACGCCGAGGGGTGAGGCTGGGGGCGCCGGGCAGGGAGGGGCAGGGCGTGCGCGCCCCGTGGAAGGGCGGTGGAATGCGGGGGGCGCGGGGCCTGGAGGGGCGGGGCTCGGAGGGGCAGTGCACGCTCGGAAGGGGGTGGGCACCCGAGAGGGGAGGCCGGAGGGGCTTGCGGGGGTGACGAGGCAGACAATGAGTAGGTGGAGGTGGGTGGTTTTGGGGAGCGGGGCTGTGACGAATAGGAGCTGAGCATGGAGTGAGGGACTAGAAGGGAGAGCAGGGTTTGGGCAGAGCAGACATTCGGGGAACTGTGAGTCCCAGCGTTGCTCGGTGTTGGAAAATAGGGGAAACAGCGTAAGGGGTTTGTAAGGTCAGGTGTGAGCCTAGCGAGCCTGGGGTCCTAGGGGGCGGTACGTTGAGTTCTTGACTGCACAGAAGGGCCAGGAGATGTGTTCTTGTATGTTACTTCTAGTTACCGTCGTGTTTGTTTGGTCTGTAGACTGACTGGCACGGTGGAGAAACCACCTCGAAAACGGAAAAGCAGGTAAGGCAAAATGCCTTCCTATTTTGCTTCGTGTTTTTCCATTTGCCTGGCTTCACCTATGCCGTACTGCATAGTTACACACTGTCAGTAGGTGAAGTTTTTTCTTTAGCTCCTTTCCTAATGAATAGAACTACATTCAAGGTCCTTCCTTTTGAGGAGTTCAGAGTACTGCCTGTACCATTTGTGTGTATGTACGTAAGACTATATGGGGAAGAGCCGTGGGTAAACTAAGAAATCTTAGTGGTGGTGGAGGTGGTGTGTTTTTTTTTTTTTTTACTTGATTTTAAAGTTTATTTATTTTGAGAGAGAGAGAGAGAACGCACACATGTGAGCAGGGGAGGGGCAGAGAGAGAGGGAGAGCTGTCAGCACGGAACCCCTTGTGGGACTTAATCTCACAAACCCATGACCTGAGCTGAAATCAAGAATCCCTTGCTTAACTGACAGCCACCCAAGCGCCCCCTTAGTTTTTTTTTTTTTTTTTTTTTTTTAACTTTAGCTGTAGTTTCAGCTTCTGCACCAGGTCTGATTAAAAAGCTAATGTTGGGGCTCCTGGGTGGCTCAGTCGGTTAAGCGTCCGACGTCAGCTCAGGTCTTGATTCACGGTTCGTGGGTTCGAGCCGCCCTTCAGGCTGAGTGCTGACAGCTCAGAGCTTGGAGCCTGCTTCAGATTCTGCGTCACCCTCTTTCTCAGCTCCTCCCCTCTTCATGCTCTCTCTTGCTCTCACTCTCAAAAATAAATAAAAACATCTAAAAAGTTAAAAAAAAAAAAAAAGCTAATGTTTGGGGCACCTGACTGACGTGAGTCTGTAAAGTGTGTAACTCTTGGACTTGGAGTCCTGAGTTGGAGCCCCGCGGTAGGCATAGAGCTTATTTAAAAATAAAAAATTAAAAGTTAATGTTTATTGAGCATCTACTGTGTGCCAAGTATTATGTACAAGTGCTTTATATGTATTATCTTCTGTAATCTTTTTTTTAATGTTTATTTTTGAGGTGGGGGGAGGGACAGAAAGAGAGGGGGAAAGAAAATTCCTCTGCACGGTCATCAGAGATCCTGATGTAGGGCTTGAACTCATGAACTGCAAGATCATGACCTGAGCCTAAGTCAAATGCTTAACTGACTGAGCCACCCAGGGGCCCCATATCTTCTGTAATCTTGAAACACCCCAAAGAAGTATGAATCACAAGTTATCACTGTTTTGTAGAAGAGGGAACTGAGGCACAAAGAGGCCAAGATCACTCATCTAATAAATAATAGAAATCAGATCTGAATCCAGGCAATCTGGCTCCAAAGCTTAAGCCCTTACCCAATATACTATACTGCCTCTAATAAACATACAATTGAAAATAGATTTTCTTACTGCTTTTTTCTCTTATCATTGTACATAGTACAGTACGTAGAGTCTAATAAACAATCGAACCATAGGGAAATAGAAACGGGGGCTTAAGTAGTCCACAAACAAGTGAATTATTCCTTGAGTAATGAAGAGCATACATCCTTCCCACAAACCTCTTTGTGTGCATTCCATGTGTCAGATACTATGTAGCAGTTCTGTGTGGTCGTTTAGAAGGGTTCTTTTTCACAGATACAGGCAGTGGTCTAGAGAGAAAATAAGCTGCGGTAGAGAGGATGGGCTAGTAGGGACCCTGTCGTAGTTAATACTTGGTTAAGTGACTGATGTTAGTACCCAGAAAACCTCAACAGTTAGAAGATAATGAAGTGCTAATGGTGGAAGGGCTGTCAGTTAAAGTTCCTTTGTCACTCTAGGTCTATGCTGTTCCATATGGTAGCCGTATGCAGCCATAAAGCACTTGAAATGTGGCTAGCATGACCGAAGAACTGAATTTTAAATTTCATTAATTGTAATTAATTTAAATTAAAAAACTAGTACTTGGCTTGCTGGAAGGTGTTCAAGTATGTTGGGAACATGTTAGGTATGGGAATCTGCTTTTTCATCTGAAAGTTTTATGAAGTATATACACAAATCACATATTCCCCGTGAAAATGGAATGTCCAAAGCAAGATGTGCTCGAAATAAAAATGCACATCAGATTTCAGGTGAGTATGGAAAAATGAATGAAATTTCTCATTTACTAATTTTTATGTTGATTAGATGATGACATCATTTTAGGTCTTGGATAAATGAAAGTATTACTAAAATTATTTTCACTTTTTTCTATCACGGCTATTCGAAAATTAAAAACTATGTATATGGCTTATGTTACATTTCTTTTGGACAGACTTTAGCTCTCATTACCCCACTTCCAGGCCCTTGCAGTAGCCTCCTGATTGTGTTCTCTACCTTAAATCTGTAATTCGTTCATCGTGCTGTGCAGGTTGATCATGTAATTCCCCTGTTTAAATCTTCAGTGCTTCCCTATTGCTTATTGAACATAATTCAGACTTTTGAACCTAATCATAAAAAGAGACTGCCTTTCTCTTCTCCCTGTCTTCCCAGCCATAGTTTAATACTGTGGCCATGAAATTCTCAATAATAGACCTATTAAATATCTACTATTAAGTGACTTAACTTTCTGCTGAATCCTGCACCATGAATTAATTGCTGAATATTCTCTGTGTTCTGTTTGCCATTCCCCCAGCTTATGTTCTCTCTTTGCTTTGGGTTTTTGCACGTGATTCTCTTTCTCCCTGGATTACTTTCTCCTTGCTCCTTGGCAAGCTCCCTCCTTTAAGACTTAGCTCATATGTCACATCCTGTGTGCAGACTTTCCCATCCTCTCCTTCACCTGACTTGTCCCCACAATAGCTTGTACATACACCTAAGTGTAATGGTTTGGGCTGCATTTGAATCCTAGCTTTCTCAAATACAAGTTATGAGATCATCTGTAAGTTAATAACCCCCCTTGAGCCCCAGTTTCCTCATCTGTATATGGAAATAATAAAAATTCAACCCAGGTGCTCCTGGCTTGCTCAGTCGGTAGAGCACGCAACTCTTGATCTCAGGGTTGTGAGTTCAAGCCCCACGTTGGGCATAGAGCTTACTTTAAAAAGTAAGATTTTTAGGGCACCTGGGTTTTTCAGTTGGTTAAGCATCTGACTTCGGCTCAGGTCATGATCTCACAGTTTGTGGGTTCAGACCCATGTCGGGCTCTATGCTGACAGCTTTGAGCCTGAAGTCTTCTTTGGATTCTGTGTCTCCCTCTCTCTGTCTCTCTCCTGCTTGTGCTCTGTCTCTCTCTGTCTCTCAAAACTGAATAGCCATTTAAAAAATAAATAAAATAGGGGCGCCTGGGTGGCTTAGTCGGTTAAGCGTCCGACTTTCGCTTAGGTCATGATCTCGCGGTTCGTGGGTTCGAGCCCCGCGT